AGTTAACTCTGCTATTGTTTGGTCGTGGTCATGGAGCACTTTGTGTAGGTGAATGATATTGGGATCACCTTGTGTCATGTTAGCTCGACTTTGCCACGCCGAGGAAGTATCCGCCATCTCATCAAGTATATCACACGCCTCAGCATAAGGTGTGTTCATAAAGTTTCCCCCTGCTAGCTGGTTAACTACACACTGGTTGGTAGTATTGATGCCACGGTAGAATGTTTGCTGGATCATGGCTTTGGTCATGTCATTGTTCGGACATTCTTTAACCATCGTCTGATACCTTTCCCAAATTTCAGGAAGCAGTTCATTTGGCTCTTGTTTGAAGTCCAGGATCTCATCTCTCAGTGTCGCCATATGCCCCGGCGAGAAGAACTTTGCTATGAATTTCTCGGCCAACTCATCCCAAGTAGTGATGGAATGGTTGGGTAACCTCTCAAGCCAATCCAAAGCTTTCCCCCTTAGAGAGAATGGGAAAAGCCTTAATCTCAATGCATCCTCAAAAACGTTCGTTTTCTTGCTCCCCCAGCATGTATCAACAAAACAATTGAGATGTTTATAGGCATTTTGGTATGGAGCTCCGGTAAAGAAACCCCTCTGTTCCAAGAGTGTAAGCATAATGTTTGTTATTTGGAAGTTGCCCGCCCTAATCCGGGGCGGGACTATTGCATTTGCGTATCCTTCATTGGGCAACGTCTAATGTGCAGCCCTTGCTGGAGGTGGGGGAGGGTTTGGAATATTTTCATGAGGCGGTCGGCCTCTCCTTTGTGCTTGTGGTTCGGGTTGAATCTCATCCACATTATCATCATCTACCTCCTCCCCCAAAGGCAAATTTTCGGGATCATCATTGTAAAGAGCCATATTGTACCTAAGAGCAATTCACAAACAATTAGAAAATCGGAAAGAAAGAAAAACAAGACACAAATAGATAGATAGACAACTAAAGCCGTCTAACTCCCGGCAACGGCGCCAAAAAGTGATCGGTTCCAAGCATGTACCACTATCGAGTGGCAAGAATGGTCGATGAAGTTTTACCCAACAAAGGTCGAGATCGATTTTCACAGGGAGTTAATTGATTTGGAGTTAGGTATCTAACTAATCTAGATGTGCGTGTTATTCCAAATTGCACCTCCAACACATGGTCACGATTGATTACAATTCTAATGCTATACTATAATATGCTATAATAGGCTAAGTACACTAATTTTTTTTGTTGGTTGTTTTCAAGGATTAAAAGGGACTAGGGCAGTGACTTCCGCCTAGGTGGATATCTAACGGGTATCTAGAATTCAGGGCAAGCTTGTTATGATTGGGGTCGTGATATAACCATCACACATAAGTGCTCACTCTATACCTCTCGGTAGTATGAGTGACTTTGCCCGATTTGACTTTCTCAAGTCCAAATGGGTGTTCATGCATAGCAAATGTTATTGGCTCAAGTCGGGTATTACTATCTCTAGATTTAACCATTTAATTGGGGCTATCAATCTCTTGAATGCACCCCAATTCCTTGTTAGCCTAATTTTCCTAGACTTAGTCTCTCTTACTCAAGACGAGTCTAAGTCATCAAGGCACGAATCACTGTTTGCAATCACCAATTCTTTACAATTAAAGCATGAATTAAGCCAAATATAACTAACCCAAAAATAATTAAGCCCTAAAATTCATGACCCATTAAATACCCACACTAGGATTGAGTCACAACCCTAGCTATGGGATTTAGCTACTCATAATAACAATAGAAATCAAAGATGGAAATGAAATATAAACCATAATATTCAAATACAAGATGAAAATCTAAAGATTGAAGACAAATCTACTCTAAGATTACTCAAAAAGGTAAAAACCAGCCGTTCACGTGCTCAGCAAAATATTCATACCCTAAAAATGTGAAAAATATCTATTTATACTAGGCTAAAATTCCTGGACAAAAATGCCCCTGCGAAAGTTTCGCGGAGGCGTAATTCCGACCGCGATCGCGATTGAGCTCTCACAGTCGCGCAATAACGAGCGCGGTCCGCGTTTCTTCAATTCTGGGCTTGGGTTGGACTTGGTTTTGCGGACAGCGTAGTTTCATCCACGTCCGCGTGTGTTTCCATTACGGCCGCGTAATTTGGACGCGGACGGCGTTCTTCTATCAAGCATGACTTGCAGGGTCTCTGAACTTCAATCAACACTCTCAGTGAAAATACCACCGCGACCGCGTCAGGTATTCCGCGGCCGATCCTTTCCATCGCGATCAGCGGTCACTATTGTACCCAAAACATCCTCTCTGAATCTCACTTCCGCGGACCGCGTATTTGTGGCCGCTTCAGCGGTGGACCTTACGCGGCCGCTCTTTTCCATCGCGGTTAGCGCTCCAGTCCCAGCTTTGAACTTGTGCAAATTTAACTCCTTCATGAGTTGATTATGGTTTTTTTGCCTCATTTTGACCAAACCCTGCAAGTAAGCACAGTAAATTAGTTTTCGGGAATACTTCTACACATTTTTTATCCAAATCCTAAGCAAAAGAGAGCATAAGATAGGTTAAAATCCATAGTTATCAGCAAGCAGTAACAGCAGCAACAGCAGTGAAATCACAGCCACTCGGTAGTCATAGCTACCAGAACTTCCAAAACTACACTGACCTGATTTCTTTACAGCCAAGGATATGTAGGTAACCTCCGGACCAAGGTTCGGTCAAACTTTTTCAAAGTGCTTCCCATGGAGCATCCAAACGGGCAAAATCACTCGTAATTGCTCATTTTATCTTTTCCGAGAACACTTCATGTTTCCGAGCAAAGAGGGGCAGTTGTGAGCACGTGATTTTTACTAGACTGAAATATTCCTACATAATTCACAAAAGTAGATTTTTCTAATTATTTTCACTTCTATAAAATTCAAGGGAATTTCTTGTTATTTGTTGTTTGCGTTTAGTTGCTTATTTAACATTTTTAAACAACAACAATAACAACGACGACCCAGTGAAATCCCACTAGTGGGGTCTGGGGAGGGTAGTGTGTACGCAGACCTTACCCCTACCCCGAAGGAGTAGAGAGGCTGTTTCCGAAAGACCCTCGGCTCAAGAAGACAAAAAGACAAAAGACAAAAGAAGACAATATTAGTAACACCACAGATATAATATGAAAAAATACGAAAAATAGGAACAACATGAAATCAGAAGAATGATACAAAGCAAAAGCAAAATAGTATCCTTACCAAACTAGTCACACAAAGTTATGGCATAAGACAAGACTCAACTACCTCCTAACCTGCAACCCTAATACTCGACCTCCACATGTTCCTATCAAGTGCCATGTCCTCGGAAATCTGAAGACTCGCCATATCATGTCTAATCACCTCCCCCCAATACTTCTTAGGCCGCCCCCTACCTCTTCCCGTGCCCTTTACAACCAGCCATTCACACCTCCTTACCGGAGCATCTGGGCTTCTCCTCTGAAATAAGAAAATACAAAAAGTTTAACACTACATTGCAAAGCATTTTAGACATTAATTGCATTTAAAATACAAATACATTTATTTATGCTTTATTAAATGAAAATTATAAAAATACATTGGTCTTGTTAACATTTAGTTTTTAGTTATAAAGTAATTAGTGGTAAGGAAAATAAATAAGGTTAATATTATAGATTAGATTAAATTAGGATTTAATTTGGGCTTTTATTTAATTTGTGAAGGATTTTAAAATTCAAGGAAAAGAAAAAAAAAAGAAGAGAAAGGGGGCTATTTCTGGTTTGGACCCAAAATTTGTGCTTTGTTGGTGGCCCAAGTTTGTTGAAAAAACTCGCGCAGTCCACCCTCATACCCTGTTAGTATCCTTCAGCCTGTGAGACATTTAAAACGACGTAGTATTGAGTCGAAACTACGTCGTATTGAGTCAAACCCTGTCAAAATTAATCCTGGCCCTTCAGTTTCTTTCATCCAACGGCCAGGAATACTTCAGTTCATTTGTTTAAGACTGTCCAAACACCTCAGATTCGACTAATGACCACCGTCCGCCACCCACCGAAAATCGCTTGTGGCGGGGTTGGTCTCCAAACTCCCTTAAATCTTGACCATATAACCTCCGTTGTCCCTTCACTCCAAATCCGCCGCTATTTTCTTCCAAAAATTACTCATCTTCTCCGAATTAGAGATCTATGGATAATAATAAAGTCGTTTTTGCCCCTTTTTCTAACTTCCTCCTAATCTGGCCTCCTCTTGACGTTGAACATACATAAATCGACTATTTTTTGATGTGAGGAGTCAATTTGCTTTGGTTTCGATTGGTCTCGTTGTGGCCGGATTCTAGGCGAGCAACCATTGGTGGTCCAAAATATTTTGAGCCTCTGCTTCATCTTCTTCTTGGCGTGTGTTGAGTATTTGTGACATGGAGCACTAGTCGTTAAAGAAATTCAGGACAGTGGTCATGTTACAATTCCCATCATTAGCCAAAATTCTTATTCGCCGGATTTATAATCGACTCACTGTTGGTTTTCTTCGGGTCATCCAAGTCTTTGGCAAACTGACCGGTATACCTCTCTTCCTCTTTCCATAACCCCTCATGTGATATCAAATTTATGTCTAAGGTGTTTCTAGTTCATAATTGATGTGCCAGCAGCGATAGCTTAATAATTAGATTAATCGCATTTGTTAATGTATTGTCGTCTTTTGAGTGAATTTTAAAATCTATTTTTTCATTTAATTCAGAGGTTGTTTGTTTAAATCTCCATTGAACTTGATTTTGATTATTGGATTGGATTCAGAATTGGGCTTGTTAGTGCAGAAACCCAAAGAGAGTATTGGGCATGTTTGGCTATATGACCCAGATTTTTGATTTTGTTGAAAGGTAAATAGTAAATGTTTAAAGGGTATTTAGGAGATTTTAATTGAAAGAATCTTTCATAACTACCTAGGAAGATTCTAGGAAAGTGGGGAAAAGGCTGATTAAACAAATGGGTTAAAGATTGGGGATTTAAATGAACAAAAATAGAATTGAAGAGAGGTGAGAATGAATAAGAAAATCAGGTCTTGTTGCCCTAAAAGTCCTGTTATAAAAACTCATTCACTCATTTTTAGAAGTGGAGCTGGAGACAGAAAAAAAAAGAGTGAGACGGTTGCGTAAAATTTAGGTTCAAATCTGAGTTTTGGTAGATGCAAAAACACCTCAAAACAGAAAGAAAACACTCAAAAGAGAGATTTTAAAAGGCTGCTTCAAAACTCATGATATTCTGCATAAGTTCTGGGTTCAAAAGCTAGTTTGATTTGAAGAAAGTATTGGTTTTCTGCTGTTGATTTCGAGCTGTACCACTGTTTGTCAAGCTGACCCGCAATCTGTGGATCTCCATTTATTCATCTGTTGTTTGAGTTTCGTTCCTGATTCTAAACTAGGTACACATATACCCTTGAGTTTCTTGGTGTTTACTTGTGTATGAATAAAATGAAGTTTAGTTAAAATTCTTGTTTGATATGAATCTATGTATTAACATTTTTTATTGTGGTAAGTAACAGATATGGATGCTAAGTAAGTGCATTTGGGTTAATCTAAAGTCCAAATCCAATTTTGGGAATCATTGCTTGGATGTAATATTTGAAGTTATTTGTGAATTCTGTCTATTCTGCTCTAAGAATCATGTTGGCTTAACTGAATAGTTCTGATCCGGGTGATGTGAAATTAATTAGCTATTTGCTTGTCACAAAAGAAGAAGAAATGAATTATTGTTTACACATGTCCAATATATAATCTGTAGTTCAAAAGACAAGTAGCGGGGAAAGACGCAACATGGATTGTTCACTAAATTTGAGGATTGAATCAGTGACAACTTTAATGAATGAAATGGGCAGAGAAGCTCCCAAGCAGTGGTCAAATTTTTATTTATTTGAAGTAAAAATGAAGTTCTAGATGTTCTGTAAATTAATGTGCTTTTGCTGTTGTTTATTTTTCTAGCCATGAAGGACAGATTTGCATTTTTATCTTTGTATGTTAAAGAGACACTTATTACCCTATATGGGACAACTTGACTTCATGAATTCAACTTTAAGCAAAGGAATGCATGTAAAATTGTTCGTATCCTTGCCTATGATTTTAAAATCGCGAACCCATTGGTTAGAAAGATATTTTTCTATAGAGCAGTGATAACTCTAGCTAGCATGAGCTCATTTGTAGAGTATTAAAGGCACAGTTATTTGCTTTCATTTAGTTATGCAAAAGTTGTAAATGGTTAGCCTTTGCAATTAATGATTTGGATTCTGCCATTTTTTTTAATAAATTATGACTAGTTGCCTTTCATGGAATTTAGAGCAAATCGACCCTAATATTATGTTGGTAGGCCAAGGCTTTGAAGTCCATTGGGACTTATTTCGTGAACATTAATAAGTAATCTAAGAAACTGATTATCTTCATTCTTAGTCTACTTTTCACTGAAGTTCAACCAAAAAAAAAAAGAAGAAAAATGAACTCCATAACAGTGTGACCTTGCAATAATCTTAAAGTGATTAGGAAAATAATCCATGAATATTCGTAGCGTTGTTTTAGGTGCATTTAATAATAAATTATCGTGACCATGGGTATGGTTCCCGTGGCATGGTCACGATACGTAATTCCCATTCCAGGTGTGCATTTCATGTGACCCGGCCATATTTCAAACAATAATAAAATTAAGCACGTTGTGAATCACGAGTGCATTTCATGTGACGCAGTTCGCAATGTGTTCAAAAAAATAATAAGTGTGCGACATCGCTACTTATTTTAAATAAACTCCATAAATAAATACTAAAAGCGCTCAAACAGTAAAAATGCACAATAAGTTTCAAATATGTATTAAATCAGATAATTAGGCCATTTATTAATAGTTGAGCGACCGTGCTAAAACCACGAAACTCGGGAGTGCCTCACACCTTCTCCCGAGTTAACAGAATTTCTTACCCAGTCTTCTGTGTTCGCAGACTGTAAAAACAGAGTCAATTTCCTCGATTTGGGATTTAAAATAAACCGGTAACTTGGGACACCATAACAATTATTCCAAGTGGTGACTCTGAAATAAATAAATAATTCTATTTCGAATAATGCCACTTAAATTGAAAAAACTCCATATACCCTCGGGAAAAAGGAGGTGTGACAACGCCCAAATTCCTATTAATGGCAATGTGGGAGCTGACATCGACAGGGTCTATGGCCGGCGGTCCATCGGGGTTGACTGGAGGTACTCCGTTTTTCGGACGACTATTTTTTTGTTCTCGCCATGAAGACCAAGGCCATTGTCTGTGTGAGTGGGTGCTACTTGAGAGTTTGACATGTTGATTCCTGAAATCAAAGACACTTACGAGAATAAGCGTAGAGCAGTGTTTGTTATGAGAACTAATACCATGCAATCACTATTATCCTTATCCCCACGGTGGGCGCCAAACTGTTTACCCTTAAAATTGGAAAACAATTAAACTTATGATGTGGTTTTAAAGACACGTGACTTTACCTAATGTGAGGATTAATAATAAAAATTGACAATAAGATAAAGCAAACCAGTGTTTGAATGGAAATCAGCCCTTGAGCTCGGATACCCTCAAGCTGATTGGTATAAGAACAGTTAAAAATATAAGCAAGCCGATTAACAAGAGTATAGATTAAAGAGAAAGTGTTATATTGCTTTTATATCTCAAAATGTAAGTGTGTTACAAATGATTGGAACTCCTCTTTAAATAGTAAAGGAATCCTAATTATGGTATAACTCTAATTGCAGATGGAAATCCCATGATTAGCTAATTAACCGTCCTTGATTTGATCCGTTCCGAGATTTCCGCCATGATCTTCGACCAATCACGGATACTTCGTCTTTCTGTTATCATGCTACCTTGGATCTTGCTCGATGTCTATCTCATTTGGTCTCAATTGCTACCGTCCTCGATCTTGATAGGTACCTCGAATCTCGAACTCAGTACCTTGTCCTCGTGCCTCGGTCTGATCTATTACGGGATCGATCTTCGATCCTTCACACTGGTCTCGATAAATTAGTAAAATCGGGTGGACCCGATTTTAACCGTATACAATTATGATTTCCTAAGTCGGGGGTCTATTGGAAACAGCCTCTCTATCCTCACTAGGTAGGGGTAAGGTTTGCGTACACACTACCCTCCCCAGACCCCCGCGGTGTGGATATTACTGGTATGTTGTTGAAATTCAACTTCAACTGAACTTATTAATTTTCATGGTCAAATATTGATTTTTAAAAAAATCAAAAAAAAGTAAAAAAAAATTAAAATATTATGGCCAAATAGGCCATTAATACCATCAATCAAATACTGTATGTCTTAGAACGATTTTTTTTCTTGTGGGGCCAATCAAATATTGTATTACGTTGTGATTAATTATGTATGTACGGTCGACCAAACGCCCTCATAGGTTATAGGCCCCACCGCAGCAAACGTGAGTAATTGTTATATCGGCTTTTGATGATTTTTGTTTGGTATCCATCTATTCACATCGTAGTTATCATCATAGTTACGAAATGGTTGCAATTTTATTCTAAGTGTTTACGCCAATTCGCGGCCATTCCTATGAGGAAACACTTATGATACTAGAACTCATATCCTATCGAGCATGTTATCCCATTTTGAAATTGGTTTATTCTGCAGCAGTAAATGCTAGTTACAATATGGGTTTCAGCGAAGCCAATTTAGTCATTAGTAAAGCCGAAGTCAATGGAGGTACTACTGTGAAAAAATTGAAACCTCGAGCTCGAGGACGTAGTTTTCCAATAAAAAGATCGACCTGTCATATAACTATTGTAATGAAAGATATATCTTTAGATGATGAATACGTAGAGATGTATTCGTTTAAAAAAATGAGAGGTAAAGTTTTTCCTGATTCCCCGATAAAGTAACAAAAGGGAAGCGCAACTCAAAGTGATTATAATAGAGGCCCAGGAGCCCCTCGTATCAAAACTCGGGAGGAATGAACGATATATCTAAAATCAGATACGGTGAAATGGCAGACCTGGGCCAAATATAGCTTCTGCACCTCGAGGGATCCGCTGAACGATTACGCATGACGAGCAGGGCAGTAATATTCGCCCTCAATAGGATATTACGGCGCGAATTCCGTTCAGTATCAACTGTAGATCAACATTTACCGGGAAAAAAATATTTTTTTTTTTTTACCTTTTTTAGACTTGTACTAGGACTAAAAATTTTCTACTATATTAAGGGGAAGGTTTTCTTTATTTGGACACATTGTGACATGCAAATCAAAGGAATAAAAGTTTACTTTTGTGTTCTAGCTATTGTTAAAAGCATTACTCATTTGTTCTTTTCTTCACTCGCGACTGAGCTTGCACCGAGGGTCCAATCGAGGACGAATTCTACTATCCAGTCTAAGATCAGACGTAGTCACTACATTGCGATTGGTTTGATCATTTATTTTGTCTTAACTCATTTACCTTTTGTTCTAATATTCGTATTGAATTAAACCACATACTTTTAAAATCGCATATAAATTTAATTGTTACTTATTTTTGATAGACAAAGTGACCTACATATAACATTCTAACTTGTCGAATATCTTCTCTTCTTTATTATCCACGAGTTTATTTTATTTTTGAAAAAACTTTAAAAGGTGACATAAACATATTATCTCCGGGAAGTTGCAATAAAAAAGCTTATTCGCGCGTGTCATAATATTTTGCAATAAAAAAGCTTATTCGCGCGTGTCATAATATATATCACTGTTATAATTTGGCAGTCGATCTACTAAATTACTTTTAACTGCGACTCTTTTACAGCTTGTTTGGATGGTTGTTACGCATCGTTTCATAATGTATCGTATCGTATTGTATTATATTGTATTGTATCGCTTGATAAATACAGTGTTTGATAGATTGTGTCGTTTGCCATCGTTTCATGATATCACGCACCAGCAATATGAAGAATAAACTTGCAATATTATAAAGAAAAATTATGATACAGGATAAAATTACTATATAAAGAGGTAGGGTAAATAATAAAATAAAATAATTTAATAATAATAAAGGGTGAGATTGAGAGAAAAGATAAAGTAACGACGCGACCACACCAAATCGGTCGTTACATAAAGTGGAATATTTCGTCGTTATGTAACGACGGATTTAATGATACAATACAATAAAATTTAAGTAACAATCAAAACAAACATTGTATTTAAAGTAATAATACGATACGATACAATGGGTAACAACCATCCAAACAAGCTGTTAATGTTTATTACATATTTTTAAGTTATTAAAAACTACTTTATTTATTTTATCTGTAGTCTATATCTTACTTCAAAATTTAAAACAAAGCTGTTCGAAGTCACATAAACAATTAGCATATTTGAGCCTTGTACTCCGAAGCTTGCTATTCTTTATTCTTTTTCCTTTCTTTGTGACAGAGGAAGTATAAATTTTATCGGTATTATTTTAAATCGGCTTAAGTTTGTTTTATGGACTAGAAAGATAGTTTTTATGCAAGTTTTACCGTAGAAAAAGGTCAATGCGTATCCCGGGGTTTCAAAAGAGAAAAAAAAGAAATGTTAGTTGAAAAAGAAAGCACGGACCACATTGCTTTTTCTGTTCTCTTCTTTCTCTTGAGTTTACCAATACAAATTAATGACAATGTGCCTAACTCTTAGTTCTTATCGGCCAATCATGTTTACCCGTAAAATTGGGTAACAATTAAACTTATAATGTGATTTTAATAATACATGATTTCATCTAATACCAATTGATAAATACAAAGAGTAACAATAGAAATTAACAATGATATAAAGCAAACCAGTGCTCGAACAGAATTTAGCCCGCGAGCTTGAACACCTCGAACTAATTTGTGCAAGTATAGTTAAAAATATAAAAAGCTGATGAACAAGAATGTGAACTACAGAAAAGACGTTGTATTGCTTTGATATCTCAGAGCATATGTCGTTACAAATGATGGGGGCTCCTCTTTATATAGTAGAGGAATCCTAA